TGAATGATTATCCAATAAGCCTCTGAGCCGATACAGATTTAACTTATATTACAAAAATATTTCTTATTTTTTAAAACATAGAACAACGAATACTTTAAAAATTGCGACATCGGTGTTTGTTTAAGGATGTTTGTCGGCTATTCTAACCGATATGTAATTATTAATTATATTCACTTTATCGAGCATCCAATGGATGTAAGTTCCAAACTATCGGTTAAGGGATAATATATTAAGATACCATTGATAAAATCAGTTGCTTTCTGACTATGAAAGCAGTCATTTTTTTATAACGATGAACTGGCCAAATGGCAAATAAACAATATTGGATTTTCCTGGCGCACATAACCAACAGTATTGACTTTCTCGTTAATAATGATTTAAACATGTATAGCAAAATGAAAATCATATATCAGATAGGTCTGTGATTAATTCCATTAATAACACTGACATGTATTTCCCCTTATTGATTGTGAAAATACCAATCCTATATTCACATACAAGTAGTAATCTTCATTCTCAAAATAAGTTCACTCTTCGTGTAAATCAAGGTGGTTGATTTTGTACCGCTGTTAATTATTGGGTCAAAAAAGAAAATTTAAATATTTCATGGTAATAGAGCGTTATTGAAGTTTAAAGTAGCTTCCCAATTTGGTTACCAATACTTTAATGTTATATGGACCTGTGGGACACGTCTCGCATGCGTGTACACATAGACTTGAGGTGCGGCCGTACAACATCGCATACGGGTTGAGGACAAGAGCACGCAGCCAATAGCAGCTCAATGGCCCTCGTTTGTTTTACCGAAAGCCGCCATGTTGTATGACTGAGTTTCCTTCCTGTACCCACTTCTTGCGTGGTTTAGCTAGTGAATAGACGTGTTCCCGCAATTCGTCTGTTTCTTTTGTAGCTGGGTTGTAGCTTAGCTGGTTCTGGGAGTCTAGCTAGATGTAGGAGAATTCTCCGTGCTACTCGTCTGTTTCCTTTATAGCTGGGCTATGGTTTAGCTGGTTCTGGGAGTCTAGCTAGATGTAGGAGAATCTCCCTGGTTCTGGGAGTCTAGCTAGACGTTGGAGAATCTGCCGTTCTGGGAGTCTAGCTAGATGTAGGAGAATCTGCCACAGATATAAACGCGCTCCGTGCTACACGTCTGTTTTCTTTATAGCTGAGCTATAGCTTAGCTGTTCTCTAGCTAGAGGTTGGAGAATCTGCCATAGAGATTTCTGATTCCTAGCTAGATGTTGGAGAATCTGCCATAGAAATTTCTGAGCCGGTAGCTAGATGTTTGAGAATCTGCCATGGAGATTTCTGAGTCGGTCTAGCTAGATGTAGAGAATCTGCCATAGAGATTTCTAAGTCAGTCAGGCTTTACTTAGGGATCTGCCATAGAGATTTCTGAGTCAGTCAGGCTTTACTATTGTAGCAATCCGCTACAAATTGGTGACCCTGACGTGATCGCCAAAGCCTGACTTTAATCGCTCAGCGGAGAACCGATCTCTCACTGACATCGGGATTTTCTTTCCTCGTCCCTCAATTGCCTCGGTGATCCCTTCCTGCTCGAATGGTTATCACCTTAAACGTCCGCTGCCGTTTCTCACGACAAGTCAGTTCCTGACTTTCGCTCAACAGAGCCTCTATCTCTCGTCGGCGACGCGACTGTTCTTCACATCGCTCTCCTCATCTGATGGTTCCTTCCCACGAATGATCAGCACCTCAACGGCACCTCGACTCTTTCCTTTCACTGGCTATGACTCCCTCAGAACGCCATGGAAAACAGGCAACAGCCGGAGCACGATAATCTTCGAAAGCCTACCCTTACAGATCCCCCAAAAATTCAAACTCAACTGCATTTCAAACGGCAAGCCCTGACCAATCGTCAGGCAAGCACACGCCGAAAGATTTCGACCATGGATTGTCGCAACCAAACATCCGTTCAACAAGAACGTTGAACATCGATCGTTGCATATGGAGGAACATACAACAGGACGCCCGTCAGTGGACCAAATACTTCATTCTGGACCGCAACGACACCAAAGACCCAGCCAGTATCGACCATTTAAAACCGGCATATCTGGAGCTTCCGACACCGAAACCCGTAGCTAGAAATCTCCCGTGCGGCCCTACCAATCCAACAGCCCAAGACCCTCTGCCATTCTCTCCCCCTCCACCAATACCACCTCTACCCAAAACCCTTTTACTCTAAGGCCGAAGATTTACCTTCCCCTCCAAACTAGTTGTTTTTGTACCTTAACAGATTATCGAGCGTTTTTCTTTACCTTTCAGCCCCTACAAACGCTCTAGGGGGGGGGGAGTATTGTGGGACACGTTATCGCTGTGTGCGTCGTCGTATGCCCGCATGTCTGCTCGCCAGGATTGGGAGGTGCGGCCGTTAAGAGGGAACGTCCAGTTGCTTGCAGGCAGCGTTCTTCTGTAGAACGAGGGATAACGCTGACTTCGGAGCCGGTGTCAACCAGGAATCTAAGCTTAGAATTCCTGTCTAACACATACAATAGGCGACTGCGGGAATGGCCAGGGTCAGTCGTCGCCTTTACTGCCTGGCGTGTTCTTTTCCCGACAGGCTGCGTTGTTGACGTTTGGGGTATTGACACCAACGGGTACATCTTCTGGCTCTATCCTCATAGGTTCGATGGAAGTAGCATACAGTGCCATCATGTACTGATGGACTCCGACGCCTTCTAGGTGAATCAGGACGCCGTCCTCTTGCCCGTGAAACGGAGGTTGTCATAAGCGCCTTCATTTCTTTAAACTGTTCAGTGAGATCATCAAGTCATTGTGTAAATGTAT